TAGTGAGTGATGATTGATCTTTAATTGCTGTTGAATGATTAAAATTAATCGAGGAATAATTCAATGCTTTAATGAGGAGTTACAATGGGGAGTGATGATTAATTGCTATTATTTTAATTTCTGCTGAATGACTGGAAAATTACGGACGTGTTTTCAGTTTTAATGAATGAATTATTGGAGAACGATGATTCTTTTTTACCACGTTTATATCAACTTGCCTTCGTGTATGTCTGTTCGGGTGGAATTTTGTAATCGATTTTAAACTAACTTCCCGACTAGCTACAGACTTCAAATTTGGCACATAGTTCCGAATTGAATGACAATGCATAAAAATGAAGAGAAAAATGAAGGAGGCCAAGGTCCTTCATGGACTGTAGAGTTGTGGAATAGTAGTAGTTGTGCATTTATACAGAAGTGCATGTTGCAATAAACTTTAGAATTTGGAATTAAAGCCATCCAGTTAGTATACAAAGTAAAATAAAATTAAAATTAAAGAAAAGTTAGTATTTTTGCGATTGTCTTTTATTGTCGATTCGATTATTTCAAATTAGTGTCACATGTCAGTTGAAAAGTTTTGTGTACAGTGAGTGAAAAAAAAGAGATTTTGAAAGTGAGTACAAAAAAATCAAAATAAAAATAATATTTTTAAAAACCACGTTTTTGTAGTGGAAAATAATAATTTTTAGAAAAAAATTTGAAAAACGAAAAACGTGGGGCGTATGAAATACATAACAATACATAACATATACATATACACATTTTCTTACTCATACACATGCACAACCACATCCACATACAGATACAATTACAGATATACATACACATATTCTCAGGAGCACACATACTGTTACTGTTATGTATTTCATGCACTCCACGTTTTTCGTTTTTCAAATTTTTGTTTTTTTATTATTATTCTCCACTACAAAAACGTGATTTTTAAAAATATTATTTTTATTTTTTTATACTTATTATTAATTGATTAAAAAATTACTAAGGAATGCTTCAATACTTAATCTCGTGAACTATAATAGAGAGTAATAATTTATAACTAAATAATTATAAAAATAGCAATGTAAATTGGTACTTCTATTAGAAACTATATGGAGAGTGATGATCCCTTACTAATTTTTAATTACTGTCATTTCTTAGAAAATAATGAATTTTTATTTTTTATAATAAGCTGTAATGAAGAGTGATAATTCGTTTCTATTTGTTAAAATTTTTCTTATTGAATTATTAGAAAATTGATTAAAAAAACTGCTTCAACCCTCACTTTATAATAAAAGAATAGTGATCCAATGCTATTTTTTGAAAATTAAGATTAAATGATTTAAAAAAAGATTATAAAGAATTTTCAATTTTCATGAATGAGCTGTAATTATGAGTGATTATTTTTTTCAATTTCTTTCAATTAATTAATGGTAAATTCACAAAAAAATCATAAGAAATGCTATAACATTTAATTTATAAGGTAGAGAAATAATTCAACCCAATATTTTTATTTACGGTTGAACGATTCGAAAAATAATGAAGAGTTCTGAATTTTTTTAAGTGACCTATAATGAAGAATGATTTCTTTGTTTGTTTTTTAGTTAATGGTGAATTATTAGAAATGAATAAGAAATGTTTCAATACTATAATGAACAATAATGAAGAGCGATATTTGGAATAAATTCTTTTAATTACTGTTGAATAATTCAAAACAAACGAAGAATATTCGATACGAAGACTATTCGAGAATTCGATACTTTTATAGAGTGTGATGATTTCTTGCTACATAGTAATTCTTTCATAGTAAAAGTAATATATAATTCATACTACATAGTAAAAGTAGCACTCTTTGTAAATTTTTTTAATTACTTTAAAATGTTTAGAATTTTTTTATATTTTTATGAATGAATTATAGAGGTTGATTTCTTGCTAATTATTTTCTTAATTATTTTTCAGCCAATTCTTAAGGAATTGCTGAATATGCTTCAATAATCAATTTAGTAAACATTGGAGTATTTGTAGTTTATAATTAGGTTTCTTTAATTACTGTTGATAATTCAAAATAACTTGGAAATAATACAATAATTTAAAAGCAATTGGAATTCAGAGTAGTGATTCATTGTAATTTTTTTATTACTGTTGAATGATTAAAAATAACTGAAGAACAACTAAATATTTGTTAAAAAATTGTATTTGAAAATGATGATTCCTTACTAATTTCTTTTTCAATTATTGTTTAATGATTAGAAAATTACTAAAACAATTTTCAATGAGTGAGTTTTTATAGCGAATAATGATTTCTCGCTGATTTTTGTAAAACTACTCTTTAATGAACAACGAGTTACTGTAAAATGCTTTCATGTTTAGTGTAGTCAATTATAATGGTAGTTCATTTAGGCCATACTGGAGCTGCATACTAGAGTTGCATAATGGGCTATTGGCGACGGTCTCGGAAACATTCGTGATGATGTTCCGAAGACACGCCATCACAATTTTGATCCTTTGCCAAAGGGATTGCTTCCCTCCTTTGGTAGTTAAACGAGCACATTACGGTAGAAGAGTTCAATGAAGACCTATACCGCACAACCTCGGTCCTTACGCAGGCTGATCAAAGTGATCACCCACACGCGTACTGAACGCAGCCAGTGATGCTTGAGTTCGGTGTTCTACTGGGAACCATGTCTTCATGATTAGTTCATTGCGGGATATTAAATTTTCATGAAGGGTGATGATTGATAACTATATCTCTTTAGTAACTGATGAATGATTAAAAAGTTACTGGGGAATCACTCCCTACTTAGGTAACGAATTACAGTACAAAGTAATAATTTATTAACTCATTACCTTTATTGGCGTAATATTAAGTGCCGATTTAGTCCTTGAATTTCATTTGTTTTTGACGCATCGTTATGTTTTCTACCCCTTGCCAGCATAGTAGCAAATAACAAAATGAGATAGAAAAGCAAATAGCATTAAAACAGGTAATTCGTTAATAAATTTTTATAATTACTGTTGAGTAATTAAATAAAAATTAAAATATTTTCCGTATTTTATTTTATTACAAAAACCAAAACCAAGAAGCAAAAACAAACTTTATATTTTAGTTTCCGTTCGAAACAGTTAACTGGAATTTATCATCGGATTTCATGAAGTTCATGTATGTACTTCTGGTAAAAATTTATGTAAATATGTATACTTTCGTTGAACTTTGATTTTAAGTTTCAATTTCTCATGGCAATTTTATCAAATGTATGAAATGCATGAATAGTTTAATATGAAATCTTAATATTAACTGATGATCTATTTGCAAATAATTAGATGATAAAATATTTTTAGCAATAACTCATAAGTTTAAAAAAGCTTGAATGCAAAATTTAAATTGCTCTTTCAAAATATAAATGCTCGATAAGTACAGATAAATTGTTGTGGCATTTTATTTATTGACAAAAACTTAATGAATTAGTAAGTTTTTTCAACTATAACTTGTAAGTTTCTAAGAACATTCAAATTTTTCCTAAAGAGTCATAAAATTCGATGTGTACAGTTCTCAAAAAAAAAAAAAAAAAAAAAAAAAAAAAAAAAAAAATCACCCTGATATACTTTCGTTCTAATGATCAGATTTTTAATCTGATCGGATTTATGAAATCAGACACAAAAACATACTTTCGCTGAATAAACAAATATTATTTTTTTTACATACTTGGATTCCTTATCTTCAAAATATAGGGGGTAGCCGCAATCTGAGAAATGTGATCCCCCATAGTTTGGTCAAGAGAGCGATTCAAAGTTTGGACCCATTAATGTTAATTTCGCTTTTTGCGTTTTCAGTCATATTTTAAAAACTAATGAACCAATTCCAAAAAAATTTCCCCCTCTTATAAAACTCATTTACCCAAAGATAATTTCATGAAAAAATTAATTTTTAATAATTATTTATTATTTTTTATTATTTAATTAAAGTGAGGATGAAAAAATGTTGAATTATAAGGTATAGATTTTTTTATACCATATTAATCTGCACATTTTTCAATTGAAAAATCTAAAGTTTCAACTGCTTTTATTTATTAGAAGATGAGAAAAATTAAAATTAATTATTTTAAAGAAATTAATTTGGCGACAATGAAGAAATAATTAAATGGGGCGATTAATATTAAAATGCGATAAACTTACGAGGAACTTGATTTCGCGCGTAGCGTAAAGTTTCATTCATATTTTTTTCGCTAATAATTGTTTGTTAATCTTTTAATTTTTATTTTTTTTAAAACTATAAAATACGATGTTTCTTTTTTAGTCGTCTAAAAATCTATTTGCAATTTAGTAAAGAAATTTGAATAAAACATTTTATTGAATAGAAAACATTTTATTCAACGACTGTCGAGTTTTATATGTCGAGTTTTATGGCTGGGAAAATAACTACCTATTTGAGATGAACGAATTTGTGCAAAACAATTCCAACTATGAAAGGGAAGTGTCAGAGTATTAGGCCTAAAATGGGACCAGCAAAAAAACACTTTATCCTGTGATCTGGTTAAAGAAGAAATCAATAGTGAACCATTTACCAAGAGAAAAATTCTATCTATGGCACACCAGCTGTTCGATCCTATAGGGTTCACTTGTCAATGCACGAAGAACCATCTTGGCTTAAAGAATCAAGAGAAAACTGGCCTAATTTTGATCTAGTTCCTGATGAAAAAATAGTGTAAGAAAATCATTGTATCATCTTTAGATATTAAAAATGACGAATTTTACAACAACATATCTTCCTACAAGAAAATAATCATAATTACAGGCTGGATATATAGATTTTTTGAAAATTCCTATAACGTTGTCCCGAAACTTCTTCTACAAGAATGCTGGAAGATTGGAATTTCTTGGGATTCGAAGTAATTAAAAGATTCGAAAAATGGAAAGAAGAATTAAAAGAATAGAGCAAAAAAATTCCTCGTAGACTTTCAAACTTAAATCTTTCTAAATCAAGCTTAACACTTCATATCTTTTGTGACGCTTCCATGGTGGCATATGCGACTTGCATCTTTTTGAAGGCGGAAAGAGATGGAAAAGTTACTTGCCAACTCATTCAAGCAAGATCTAGAGCTGCCCCATTGAGAAAAGTGTCGATGCCAAGATTAGAATTACTAGCATGTAATATTGGAGCTATATTGGCTGATACAGTGAAAAAGAATTTAAGATTGGAAGATATTGAAACATTTTTTTGGAGCGACTCCATGGACTCTCTCTATTGGATAAGGAAGGAAGACCCTTGGACGATTTTCGTATCCAATCGAGTTGACGAAATTCGACGACTTTCAGAAGCTAGTGACTGGAAGTTTGTTCCGGGAACCCAAAATCTAGCGGATTTGCCTTCAGGAGGTTGCACAGTTAAAACCCCATTGAAGAGACAATGGCACGAAGGACCATCTTGGTTTAAAGAATCAAGAGAAAACTGGCTTAATTTTGATTTAGTTCCTGATGAAAAAATAGTGTCAGAAAATCATTGCATCATCTTTAAATATAAAAAGTGACGAATTTTACAACAACATATCTTCCTACAAGAAAATAATCATAATTACAGGCTGGATATATAGATTTTTCTTAAAATTCCAGAGCAAGCAGTAAGAAAATAGGAAAATTATCTGTAGAAAAGCTTATTAAAGCTGAACTCAAAATCTTGAAAAGGGTTCAAGAAGACTCATTCCAAGGTGAAAAATTGAAGAGCCTGAAATTTCTGTCGATATTTACAGACGCTAATGGACTTCTGAGAATTAAAACAAAAATCCTTATGCGAGAAGACAATGAAAACTTTAAAGTTCCAATTATTTTACCATCTGATCATCATGTTCTTAAGAGCCTTATTTTACACAAACGTAAAGAACTTGGACATCCTGGAGTACAATCTTTAATGGTAGCTCTGAAAGAAGATTATTGGATATTAAAAACTAGAAGAACTGTAAAAAAGGTAATGAAAACCTGCATAACTTGTCAACGATTTAATGTGAAAAGACCTGAAATGTCAGAAGGAATACTCCCGGAGGACAGAGTGAAAAACGCCTCAATTTTTGAAGTTATAGGAGTGGATGTTACTGGACCATCGTTTACGAAGGACAACAAGAAAGTGTGGATCGCAATTTTCACCTGTGTGATTTATAGGGCAGTACACTTAGAACTATTGACATCAATTTCAACTGATAATTTCATACTTGCCATAAGAAGATTTATCGTACGCAGAGGACGTCCGTCAATTATCTACTCCGACTATGGGACTAATTTTATTGGAACTAACAACTCTCTGAAGAATATCAACTTAGAAAGACTAAAGACAACCTTTTCTCCAATTTTATGGAGATTCCTACCCCCGACTGCTCCATGGTGGGGAGGATTTTTTGAGAGGTTAATAGGACTTTTGAAAAGAATTTTGAGGAAGGTCCTAGGTCATACATCCTTAAATTACCAGGAAATTGAAACTGTTTTGTGTGATTGTGAAAGCCAACTCAATTCAAGACCCTTAACATATGTTAGCGATGATCCCGATGATTTATGTCCTTTAACACCTGATTTATTCCTGAAAGACACTCGTACTAGTAGTACTACGGACTTGGATAGATTAAAGCTAACTGACAAGACGGAATTAAACAAAAGACTTGCGTATAGAAGAAGACTGATGACAGATTTACGAGCAAGATTCCGTAGTGAATATCTGAGTCAGCTACATCATAGACTGACAGTTCGAAAACCAACATACCATCCTAAAGTTGGAGATATCATCTTGATTTGGAATGATAATCTCAAAAGAATACATTGGCCCTTGGGA